CATAATAATCATATACATTGTATATTGACAAAATAAAAATTTAATGGAAAAAAAATAAAAAAATAAATATGTAGTTTAATTTACTATATTAAACAAGAACTTTGATATTAAAAAAAAATTAAAAAATCATTATTTCAATTCCTTTTCCAGCAGTTTATTGATTTCCTTCTCGTTAGTGTCTGTCACTGGCATGTTATTGTGTTCCTTTGGCGTCATATTTCCTTCCTTTTTCACGTTTTTCATCTCCCTGTGTTGACATCTGTGCACCTGGTGAAACAGCTGCCTCTTCCAAACTTTACTAAGTAGCTTTCATATACAGTGTCTTTCACCCATAGTTGGGTCTTAGTGTGCTGGTTGAAAAAGTGTGGTGTCTGTTTCCATGTAGATGCAGTGGTTTACTCTCTGGGCAGGTTCTTCAGCTGTGATCAATTTCACCACTAACTGTGGGTGTCTCAGTGTTCTAAGCTGTAGAAGTTTGTGGTAGGAGTGGCAGTGTAGGGTGTTAAGGTCTTCAGTGACAAGGGCTTTTGGGGTCCTTCTATGCTTATTTTTCCCACAATGGGGCAGTTTTGTCAAGGGAATTCCTATTGGTGTTGGGTCTACCCCAACCTGCAAAGCTGCAGTGGTGCTGGGTTCGAGGTACAGGTGCTTGGAGTTGCTGTGGAGCCAGGATCAGGATCTTGGACTCAGTGTCTTGCAAACCTATTATTGCACCTAGCTCTTGGGGTATAGGTTCATTCTCTGTGGCAGTATTGGATGTTGAAAGCCCACTGTGCCAGGTTTTGTGGCTTTTGAGGCCCTCCGGCAGCTCAGGCTCTGTGGGCTGGGTTACAACTGTGACTCTGACCCTGGGGGATTGAGCACAGCACTAACTTGATTCCCTGGGAGAAGGGATACTCTGGAGATTTAGGCCAAGGGAGAAGAGTCTGGCTGCAGTTCAGGTACCAGAGCAAATGGGAATCAGTTGATCACGGGGGTGACTCACCTTATAGTGATGACCCTAGCCCCTGGAATGGCAGGACTCAGCAATATCTCAGTCTCTTTTAAGCCAGGTACAACAGTAGCAGGAACCCAGGATGGTGGAGTGCAGCTGTTTTTTGGGCCTTGGGGGCAAGCAGCAGCACAGCACTGACTTCACTCCCAGGGGAAGGCATTTGTTATTAGCTCCGCCTCTAGGTGAATAGTCCAGCCCCAGGGAAGCAGAGTACTGGAGTTGTTCGGCCCCTCAGGCAAGGTGCCTCAGCTCAGCTCTGAGGCCTGCAGTCAGCACATCCATGATATCCCCGTATTCATTTTGTTTATTTCTCGTTTTTTCCTTTGTCTACCCCTGTACATTCCTTTAATGATTTGGGAAACTCATTCTTTTTTTTCTTTTTTTTTTTTTTTTGCTATCCCTGCCCTAATGCCCAGCACTGCTTTCTTTGGCAGATTAAAATAACAGACAGTCCTATGTTGCTAAATAAATGAAAAAAATTAACGTTAGTTTCTGTGCTACGTGATGTTATATGCTATTTAAAGAAGACTGCTGTATTTGCTGTTATCAGTCCTTGGGCTCTAATAGATTCATTTTTGGTGGGTCTTCCAGGATCTCATACTATCAGCTTTGGTAAGTTTTTGAAGTAACATCCATGTACATGGGGTATATCTCATTATCATAGGGGAATTATGTTTCCTTATAATGCGTTGTTAAGTTGGCAAAGCAACTTTCTAGGAAGTCTGCTTTTTGAAAGAAAAATAAAGTAAATTCACCAGTTTCTTATAAAAGTTTTAATTTATAAGGTGTTTTTAAATATATATATATATATAATAATAATATCTGTTGAGGTTTGATTTAATAATATATTTAATTTAAAATGTTAATTTTCTTTTTTTGACTCAGGAAGAAATACATAAAATAGTAGAAACTGTAGAGGTGATGACTGGGAATATTCAGGGCCTAAAGAACAAAATTCAAATTCTTACAAGTGAGGTGGAAGAAGAGGAGGAGAAAGTAAAGCAGGTAATTATTAAAAAATGTATTTCTAGAATTTAAATATTGGTTTTGATGCTTATATTTTACCAAGACAGGTTTTGAGTATAATAAGATGAGAGAAATCAGCATTTTGAAGTAATTCATAGCTTTTTCTACTGTAGATGCTTCAAATGGATTGTAGTGGGGTACTCTCTCTTCCAGAACTTTCTCAGAACAGTCTCAGAGCACCTACACTTCAGGTGAGTACCCATTTACCATATGGACTATATCACCAGTTATGCATAGCATATATATAAAAACATTATGTCCTCTTTCTTTCTTTATACAAATGGAATCCTGATGTAAATTATTTAACAGATTTTCTCATTTTACTGTATGTAGCTTGAACTTCTTTTCTTGTCAGTTCATGTAGATCTCTCATAAACTTGTCAATAGCTATATAACATTTCATTGCATGGATATACCATAATATGATTTGTAAATTACTGATGGAAATAAATAAGTTTTATATTACATCTAATGCTAGGTACACCCCTGTACATATATCTTTACATATTTGTGAAGTCATAACTGCAGGATACATTTCTGGGAGTAAATTTTGACAGTTTTTGTTTATGCATCTAACAGTGGCATATAACTTTTTATAAAATAACTTTTATTTGGAGTAAACTCTACACTGGTGATTTTATCTTTCTTCAAAGGACTCCAGTAGATATTACAATGTAAATGTTTATAGCAGTGGAAAATCTTCATGTTTTCTCAAAAAAGTAATTTAAAATTTTTCTACCTTTAATCCACCAGTGGTGAGAGGAGCAGAAGTGGGGAGAGGGAAAGAGATTTAAAAGAATAGCCGTGAGTCGACAGTTACTCAAGTTGGCTGATGGGTACTTGAGGTTTCATACAGATTGAGCATCCCTAATCCAAAAATCCAAAATTTGAAATGATCTAAAATCCAAAACTTTTTGAGTACTGACATGATGTTCAAAGGAAGTGCTCACTGGAACATTTTGGATTTCGAATTTTCAGGTTAGGAACACTCAACCTGTAAGTATAATGCAAAAGTTCTAAAATTCAAAAAAATCCAAAATTTGAAACATTTCTCGTCCCAGGCATTTCTAATAAAGGATACTCAACCTGTATACCGTTCTCTCTAAACAGCATACATTTGACATTTTTCTTTTTTCATTTTATTTTATTTTATTTTATTTCATCAATATACAATGTAATTGATTTTCATGTCCCATTACCAATTCCTCCCTCCCCCCTCCCTCTCCCCTCTCCCACGACATTTTTCTCAATAAAACGTTAAAAACTAATTACACTGTTTTACCCACAGAAAGAAATTTTGACACTAATTCCAAACCAGAATGCTCTTCTAAAGGACTTGGATGTTCTCCATAATTCATCCCAGATGAAAGACATGTTAACATTCATTGAAGAAGCCTATAAGAAACTGGATGCCTCTTAAAAGTTGTTTTTTTGGGTTTTTTTTAGGTTGTTTCATATTAAATTAATGGTTTTGAATTTGTAAAATTTAACCTATGATGATATGGGGGGGGGGTTTAGGTTGTTTCATATTAAATTAATGGTTTTGAATTTGTAAAATTTAACCTATGATGATATTACAGAGGCTGAGACTTCTGCAAGATTCATTATCCCCTAATATGCACTTTAAAATTACCTGTGTAGTTCTGTCATTAGTATGTCATATAGTTCTGAAAACTCTGAGCTCTTAGCAGTTGCCAAATCTAGGAAATCAACATTTATATTGCTATATCTGCAGTTATTTTCCTAAAACCATAAAATAAGAATAGCTATGATCTAACAGTTATAATGGCTGAATGGAGCTCATTTACTGGTTAGTACAGAGGAATCTTGATGCTGTAATGTAATATATGTAAAATGTTTATGTATAGAGCCTAGTGCATAAAACCTAGTATTAGCCGTTACTTATTATTAGCTGATGGCTTACATTTTGTCTGGTCATCTGGAACTTGAGTAATCCCCAAATGCCTTCATTCTTTTACCTAACTCTCTAATCTTTTTGTGAAGTAGTTAGGATTTACTGGATATCTCTAACTTTGGAGGTAACATCAGCATTTTATTTTGGGGGTTGGTTAGTGAATAGGTGTCAAATATGTACTTTATACTGCCATCAAAGCATATTTTTACTTTAGAAAATTTTTGAAAAGGAATATTTATTCCCCAAAAACAAAAACCAACCAAAAAACCCTTTTATATAAACTTCTTCTCATTGTGATAATAAGTTTATGTGTATGAGTAAATTATCACTTAAGTATATCAAAAATCATTTCTAACCAACTACAGTGTATTTTCTTAAGTCCTTTTTTCTATTTGTACAATAAAATAACTGTGATTTAATTATCTTTCTGTCTTTAATGTTGAATATTTCATCATGATTTAGAAGATGCCATAATTCTATAAGTATTTCCCAGGCAGAGACCACCGGGAACATACCTATAGTTAAAGTGTGTTTAATGCCTATTTTTAATGAGGGAGACCACATGCCATGGTGACCCTGGGGCAGCTCAGTAAAACTTTATATGAGCCTTTCATTCTCCAACTCTCACTTGGACATATGTTTAACAAACAGGTTTTGTTTAATTAAATATGAGACACTGGAACCTAAAATTAAGGGATTTACTTCCTTTTATTTTGGTAGGATAGAATTTCTTGGCATTCTCTGTTTACCAAAAATATGCAGTTACACCTGTCAAAATTAGTATTCAAATTGTTCATGTTGGCTTATTTTCTAAACATAAGTCTTCTAAATCCTCTCATGTTTCATTCATTGTCAAGAAATAGCTTTGAGAAAGGAAAGAAGGAAAACAAAACTAGAGAAATTCAGATTTCTCATTTGGGCTTTATCATGTCTAAAATTACTAAGCCATTTTTGTGTTCTAACTTGCTTTTCTTGTTAAGAGTTGGTGCTATTGAATGTATTTCTTCACTACTAAACTGCCGTAGAACTACTTTCTCTTGGCTTAGTGTTTGTTCTTTTCTTTAAAGTGGGCTCTACTGTTATCAGAGCTGTGAAGTTGCTGTCATATCCAAAGACTGATTACAGTTGTTAAAATTGGACAAAGACTAATGAAAGAATAACATTTTCTAGGTTAAATAAAACTACATTTTTTAGTACTTTTATAAAATGAAATTGTTTATTTTTTACTAATTGAAACAAATATGCCTAGCCAGTTTTAGCCCATTTTTACCCCCAAGGAGGTCCTTAAAATTGATGTAAGTTTTCAAATGGGACAACAGGGCTACATGACAATAATAACAGCAATAAAAGTGGCTGACATTTATTAAGTGCTTGCTGTATGCCAGGCTCTGTTCTAAGCCCATTACATGTATACATGTATTTATACTAATGTTTAATCTTAATAACTTGTGAAGATTAAACCTCACAATAGTCACTAATCACTATTATCTACATCCTGCAGGTGAAGAAACTGAGACACAGGGAGGCAAAGTAACTGTCTGAAGATTACATAGATAGTAAGTGATAGAATTAGGAAGTGAAAAAAATAATTGATATTTGGCTTCTTAGGAATTTTCTGATAAGCTATAAACAGAAAGGGCTACTGAATCTAATGAGTAAGTCCTATTACAAAAAAGTACAAATCCATGTATTTTTCTGAATATAACGATAGTATTTATTATGGATTTGTTCACTTGGATTTACAGAAAATTCCTTAAAATGTATTTTACATTAGTAAACTTTTTTCCTTCTTTTTCTTTTTCCTTTTAATCTCAGACTTAAAAGTTCATCTAAGCCTAATGGATATATCTCAAATTAAACTGCCTTCAACTAGTGCAGTTTTCCTGGGAAGGTAATATGCTTTGCTTTTTGATTATTTTTCTTTCAGATGAAAAGCAACTATGCTTGTTAGTTCTATTAGTACAGAACAAAGAATTCTGAAAAAAGTATAGAAGTTTCTGTTTTGGATGTACTTGGAAACAGGATGGAATCTAAATTTGGGGAGACCATTATATGTTTCTCGGGGTCCATAAATAACCTGACCCCTAACTTTTTAAAGTTTTCACTAGGATATTGTACCTAATATCTAAAAGAGTTTCTGTTCTGCAAATAGTTTCTGTTCTTTTTTTTTTTTAAATCTATTTTACTCAGTTAATGTTTAGAAAAACTTTATTATATAACATCCATAGGGCCATGAATAGATATATGTTGTCCTTAACAACATCTTCTTAAAAGTTATTAATATACCAGAGTCAAAAACACTATTTTTCTGACTTCCAGTAATTAACATCTAATGTAATTAATTTCCCCACTCACTTTCAACTACCAACTGCCCATTGTATTACTTAACCTGATGTCTTCTAATAAAAAATGCTCATTTTATGAAACATAAAGATGGTAAACAGTATCTTCCCATGTGACCACATTCAAACTGAAGTACTCCATATGCCGTTGAGACATTTGTACTGCATGTTATCCAAAGACTCAGGTGTTGTGTTGTGTGCTGTGATGCCCAAGAAAATACTTCTACAGTGGTTGAAATTGCAGCCATTTGAGAGAAGTGAATAAACTCTGACTCTGAATGACTTTTTGTTTAAAAGAATAGGGTAAAGGAATTAAAATTCTCAAAAGTACTCTCAATTCACAAGTATCCTCTTTAGAGATTACCCTCTTTCAGCTTTGGAAGTTTAGGGCAGCAAAATCATTCTCTTCAGAATAGATAGTCAGTACCTTTATGTTATTTTTTTATTGTACTCTCATTTGCCTGGGTCTCATTTCTGTTCATTCTCTTCCATGAGATCCTGATGTTATGGTTTTATGTCTAGAAAATGTCTGTCTCCAAATCAAGATTAGAATTCATCGGCTTTTATACCATAAGACTAAATGTGGCAGAAAGAAAGAGATGGAATGAAAATGCCTGTGCTGTAAGTGAGATGATTTTCACCTTACTGACATCATAAACCCCTCCCCTTCTGCAGGTACAGTGACTTTTTTTTCTCTTCCTCTTTCCACTAAGGACCAATTAGGGAAGTAGCCTTGAATAAACTTCATTTAGAAGGAGCCACTGCACTGATGCAAAACTGAAAAACCTCAATTTCAGACTAAACTCTCAACAGCAGGTAAGCATTTATTCTTTGAAATAATAGATATCTATACCATTATTTTATAATTGCTGGAAGGAGTGGGAGAAACGGGAGAGATGAAATTCAACCTTATATAGAAAGAATAAATTATAATTAGGTTTAGAGAAAAAGATTCTTCTGTTTTTTGGTATGTTTTTGTGTTCATCTTTTACTCTTAAATTTCTTAGGAGAATAAGCATTACGAAGTATAAAATTCCTTGCATTGTGTTATGGGTACAGCTAGAGCAAAAGATAAGCATAATCTCCAAACAAAAAACCTGTAATATGGAAAATAATTACTAGCACTGGATTGCAGTTGCTTAAAAAAAACTTTTCTTTCCTCCTTAACACTTGCCCACCATTGTATTGTAAATGGTGTATTACACCATAAAAACAGAGATTTTATGTTTTATTTGTTTATAAGACTTAAAAGTCTCCCAGGAGAGTGTCATGCTTTCATTGTATGATTAATATTATATAATAATAAATATTTTAGGTGCTTGCTGTGTGCTATTGAATACTCAAATACCCCAAAGAAACTTCAGTTCCTTAAACTTATGAGTATAATTATTTTTCTTGACAAAAACTTTCAGAAGTTATTGAGTCTGTTGTATAGCAGTTTGGTTAAAAGAGTTACAAACCTCTGTCATTCAATTCTAGAACACATACTGATTATTGGGAATCTGTAATTGAGTGATACGGATAATAACATTCTGATCTCGTATCAGAGTTAATAGTTGCCATTATGTCTTTCGAATATAATTCAAAAATGTGTAAAAAATATTTTCTGCATCTATGAAAGTTTCTGCATTCTGTTTTATGGCATTTAATGAAAGATACCTATGTAATTCATCACTGTTTACTGAAAGGGTATTGTCAAATGTTGTGCATTAATTATAGTGTTCTCTCCATGTGACCCCATGGGGAAATGTCTCTTGGTTTTTAAATTGTCACCATCAGTAATTTGTAAGTTGCATAGAGCTTAGTGTAGAAAGGTAGATTGAAGCCAGATCAAGGAAAGTTTTAACTATTAAGAAGTTAGAGAATTGTTCTTTAGAGATGGCATAAGTAAAAAAAATAAAGAAATGCTAGGGGGAAAAGCATAAGGATAATTTTATGGGCAAATTGAATCATGTAGCTGATCATGTTTGTTTCTCTTCGTGTTATCTACTAGAAAGCTTAGGGTCAAAGCGGCTCTTATCTCGTGCAAGTACAGTTGATTCTCATTGTTTGTGGTAAAGTTCAATAAAGTCACATAAAACATGGCCTTAGCCAGTACTGAAACATTGCTGCTAGTGGAAATACAGAGTTAGGTTCCTGTAAGCCTCTGGTCACAATATTTTTGTCAGCAGATCAACACATTACCTTCCTTGCTTTATGTGTGTCTTAGCTGAAAGACGCATTATTTAACATATATTATTGACTCATTGTCATTGAACTCATAGTGAAGAGCATTATAATGCATGCCTGAGCAAAACTTTTTTTCTTTTTTAGGGACTGGCTGGTACAGCAGGGATTGAACCCTTGACCTTGGTGTCATCAGCATGCTCTAACCAACTGAGCTAACCCGCCAGCCTCCCTGAATGACACTTATCTAACACATCATATGTATTTTCTCCATAAGGCACTTCACAGTTTTTTTGCACTTTAGAAACACCAGAACAGCATTTAACTACTATGCTTGGGGCCCATTTTGAACACCGAAAGCAACAAACAGAGCACAAAATGAGAAAAACGTGGCACTAAATAGACCAAGAAAAGGACATTTGTTTATAGGATGAGAAATGAAACAAGGCAGAGCATGACCTGTTCAACCTTAAACATGTGTGTTGGGAGACTCAGTTTTTTTGCTGCTCTGTGCATGTCTGCAAATGACTGCAAAAGTGCTGCAAGTGTTGCTTTGGGGGTTACAAATAAAGTTTTAAGTTAAATAGGTGAATTTGTAAATATGGGATCCACAAATAAAGAGGATCAACTGTATATGTAGGACTATATTCCACATGCTTTTCATGCTAACTTCACTCTTGACTATATTACTTTGGTATGTATTTTTCCTTTGCCTGAATTTTACTTTAAACTTAATTTTCTTGGTATATTTAGATCCTTTGGGAAACAAACTGGGTAATAAATAAGCAAATCAACAAATACTTGTAATTTTACTCTTACTATTAGTTACTTTGCTTAGTATCAGGGCATAAGAAAAGCTCTAGATATCAAAACTAATTAGGAGATTTATGATAAACTACCCTTTGAAATAACTTCATTTCATTTTCTATCAAGATATATTGAATTAGAATACGTAAATGCATTTAACACATGTATCTACTAAAAAGTTTAAATTTTATTTAGAGATGACATGAGTGAGTGAAAAGACAAGCAGATGCAAGCCACACTTCTCATTTCTTTGCTCATCCTGAAGTCTGGAAACTTGATTTTTTCAAAGTTTCTAATTTTGGCTCAGACTGAGTCATAGAGTCCAAAAGCCTCCTCATTTTTTGGTGCTTCCTTGACCCCTGATATCTCTTCTGACTCCTATAGAGAACACAAACACCTCAAGTATATCATTCAGTGAACTCTATAGAGCCTACAGGCTTAATCACATGCTTTAAGAAGTTCAGAGTCGCATAAAACTCATGACAGAATTTTACAGTGAATTTTGGGTAGATCATAATTAAACACTATGTGTATCTTGTAGTCACACAGGTATTCCACATAGGGATATCAAGAGTCTTTTTCAATCTGGAAAATGTGTCATAAAGGGATGATCTTAGTTCTCCACACAATCCCAGAGGCACCAGGTTCTCACACCTAACTGAGTTATCTTTGCCATCCTAGTGCCTGGCTGCTAAGAGTGTAAGTGGACAAGCTCCATTATATTTACTTTAGGAGAAAAAAATGTTTTTCTTTAATTCAGTCAAGCCCTGATTGGATATTAGGGAGAAAGTTTTTGGGGGGAACAAAGCAAGGGAGGTGGAAACCCCAAATATAGAAAATGTAATTACATGAGAATGGACAAGGTTGCAAACATTATATTTAGGCCCTTCTTTTTTCCATAATTTTATCTGGCTAGAATAAGCCTCAGCTTTTGCCTACATCTGACTCTTCATTTTCAATCAAAGTGTTTCTCCTTCAGTTGTTCCTCATAACCATTTGTTCCATTCAAGTCTTTTTCTAGTCTTTGCCCCACATTGTAAAAAAGAAGTTTCCCTACTTAACCCCAAGATTCTTACCCTGAGCTTCATATTAGCCATTCACCAACTATTTAGCATTTCCCTACTATGTACCAGGCTCTGTGGCAGGTGCTGTGGATACAACTGGGCACAAAGCAAACATGGGCTCTGCCTTTATGTAGCTCACAGGCTACTTGAGACAGTCTTAAATCAAAGAAAACACAAGTAAATGTAAAATTACAAATGTTATAAGTGCCCTAAAGGAAGAGCTTAGAGTACAGTGAATGTGCATAATAGACAATACGGTATAGATACTCACATTTGTTCAAGATTAGATCATTAACACTCTCCATTTCCATGTATTCTGTGTTTTACCCATCCTGGTGTCTCCCCATCTTCCTCCTTCCCTCTTCAGAGGGAGCAATAGCAGTCAGAATTACACCCAATGAAAATGGGACTACAAAGATGTACCCAAGTAGGTTCAGATGTTAACAGGCAAAACTTAAATGCATACCCTCAAGTTTCTAATTAGGTCTAGAATTGGAAGATCTCTGGAGAAGATGTTGGTGCTAAACTGTTGTACCAAATTACTGATACTGGAAAAAATATTGAAGAATCACTTTCCTCAATCACTCAAGGTACTGTAAACTTAAGAATTTTATTTATTTTATTATTGTCTTAATCTGTGAAATAATGTCAGACTTGTGGCTGTTCCCATTTTTTTCTGATAAGACTTTCTAGAAGCACTTTTTAAACATAGAGTTTCCCAGCTCCCTCCTGCTAGAGACTGATTCAATGGATTGTGGATAAGGCCCGGGGAGTTATGTTTTTGACAGTCACTCTAGATGCCTCCCAGGGAAATTTAGGTAATGCAGAACTATATTATTTCAAAATATTTTCGATTTCTAAGATTTTTTAAATGGCAGAAGGGTATCAATTGTGTGGTACTGCAGTTAAGAACATCACCTAGGTAAACAATAGAACTGAAGTTTAGGTGTTGCTATAAAATTTTTTCTGTTTATTTCAAGATCTTTATTTTTGAAGGTTTTTCAGTGGCTCTGAGGTCATCAACCCTCTATCTGTTCTAAAATCTAGGAGGGCCTACTGATATGTTGATAATCAAAGATTGCAATAAATGTAATATTAGAACTGTTATAAGTACTTAGAGGAAAAGTACAATTTAGCACTACCATGGAAGATGTTGTTAATCAAAGATTGCAATAAATGTAATATTAGAACTGTTATAAGTACTTAGAGGAAAAGTACAGAATGCAGTGAAATTGCCTTTGAAGGCTGACTTTCTTGAGCCTTCGAGAGAAAGAGACAGCCCCATGACAGTGGTTTTCAAGTGTGAATAGCATGCAGATCACCCAGGAGAGACCTAATGGATTGGAATATTTGAAGATAGCGACCAGGGTCCTGCATTTTTAATAAACACCCTGGATAATCCTTATGTACACTAAAATCTGAGCAAAGGTGATCTAAAGGGAGTCCTCTAGTGAACTGTGTTGATTAAATCTGGTCATTTTGCCTTATTGCTTGTGCTTAAACTATATGTTGTATTGCCTGTGCTTAAATTGTACGAAATCTGAATAATAATTTGAGATTGCAAAAGTGCCAAATGGACAATATGACCCCAATTTTTTCATTTCAAACACTGACTGTGAGGTGAATCAATGGAATAAGACAGCTACTTTGCTTTAATAATGTCTAACTCCTTTGCCAGGGATAACTAAAAAGATTTTGGTGACCTTCACAGGGTCATAAAAAATATCAAAGAACAAAAAAGTTAAAGGAAATATAGTTTCGTTTGTTCTCCCTTTCTTTATTCTTTGGAGTTTATGGCTATGTTTTTTATAACCTCAGCTTAGTGTTTAAGTGATTAAATATCTTTCCCAATTTTCTTCACAAGCTCAGTGTATTCCCCCAGCATCTTTACCTCCTTCTAGCCTCTCCCCCTCTGTTCTCCCTTTCTTTATTCTTTGGAGTTTATGGCTATGTTTTTTATAACCTCAGCTTAGTGTTTAAGTGATTAAATATCTTTCCCAACTTTCTTCACAAGCTCAGTGTATTCCCCCAGCATCTTTACCTCCTTCTAGCCTCTCCCCCTCTCCACTCAACACTCAAATTTATTTGATTTTTATTTTTGTTGTTGTTTTGGGATTTTTTTTGTTGGCCGGCCAGTACATGGATCTGAACCCTTGATCTTGGTGTTATAAAACTGTGCTCTAACCAACTGAGCCAACTGGCCAGCCCCCTCAAATTTATTTGAATAAATAGCTATTGGAAGAGTTTGCTTGTTTGTTTTTTATGCAATACCAAATATTTTAGTTCCAGATCTTATATAATTTATGTTTTTTTTCTCTTAAAATCTGAATATTGAAAGGGTTTTTCCTTTTTAACATTCTGAACATTCCAATCATATTTAGGCTACATTCTTGAATAAGAATGTAAAGTTTCCTTATGTGAAACCATTTTAATGAACATCATCTGTATATGTAAGATGAGCAGCCACAGAATTTAATGATTAACAGGACAAGGGTGACTCTTTCAGTCTACTTTAGTTCTTGGATTTGCAAGGGTGATCCATGTTACACATTAACATAAGACAAACTCAGTTTGGAAAAACACATTCTATGAAAATATTTGAGTGAGGTCCCAGATTGGGTAAGACAAAAGAAAGTTGTACAATGTTCTAGCCATTGAGGAAAGATGAGAGATTTGGACTAAGATAGTGATAAAGGAGGTAGAATGTAGGTTCCAATGCCCTTATAATTGAAAAAAAAAATTTTTTAATTAAGTCTAACATACTAGAAGTTGTACACAATATAATTATGCAGTTCAATGTATTTTCACAAAGCAAATACCTGTGTAAATCCACTTCAGTCCAGAAAGAATATTAGTTCAGGTGCCACTCCTGTCCACTCCCAATGCTCCTTTCCAATCACTACTTCTTCCTGCTCCCCATCTATGTCAGGTCCCATGGATATAATGGTAAATATGACATGTTATGACCCTCAGGGAATGCTTATGAAGACTTGCTCTATCAAATCTGAAATGCAGATTTTTGGTTTTTTTCTATTTGTGTTTGTTTCACCATCAAATAATGTTTAATTGTGATTCATTTAGGGTTGAAGGAGTAGTTGCATTTCACAAGCTATTTTCAGATAGCACACTGAACTTCAAAAGCAGCTAAGCATCAAAATTATCTGTGGAACTTTTTAAATACATATGAGCCTAAGTCCATATGTCAGATTCTGATTCATTCAGCAAGCATTTATTGCTGACCTATGTGCCAAGTTCCTATCTAGTAAGCCTATCAGTTTGGTACCTCTCACTGTTGTACTTTTAAAAACAAGGTTTGGGGAGAGTCTTCCTAAGCTTTCATAGACTTTTTACCAGTTTTCATGCACACTGATAAAACGAGAGTGGAGATGTTTGTATGTGCGTATATTTGTTTATGTGTGTGTATATATATTTGTAATTTCCCCTTATGGCTATGATTGTACAGAACAAGAAATGAGGAGGGTAATATGTAACTGAAATAACTAGTAATGTGATTGGCTTGTTTCTCTGGATTCTCTGCCTCAGGTTTATGGAGCGGTGATGAACATAAATCGTGGGAATCCCTTTCAAAAGGAAGTGATATTGGATTCATGGCCAGACTTCAAAGCTGTCATTACCCGGCGACAGAGAGAGGTACAGTTTTGAAAGACAAAAAGAAAAAAAACAAAAACAATTGGCATCAACTGGAAAGAAAGATTAGTTAACAGGGATAGTATAACCATAGTAGCCATATACTTTAGCATAACACACTACATATTTTACCATTAGTTTCTAATTTGACTGGCTTTGGAGTATAAGGCATATGGAAAACCTCTAGTACAAATGTGTTCAATAAAGTGTTTCTTTAGTGTTTAATAATCTCTAGGCACATGAAGCATCTATGGCTGGTTTGCAGAGACATACTTATTTTATTACACTTCACTTTATTTCACTTTGAAAATATTGCGTTTTTTACAAATTGAAGATTTGTGGCAACCCTATGTTGTGCAAGTCTATTGGCACCCTATTACCAACAGCATGTGTTCACTTCATGTCACTGTGTCACATTTTGGTAATTCTTGGAAATTATTATTGTTATATCTGTTATAGTGATCTGTGATCTTTGGTGTTACCATTGTAATTGTTTTGGGGTACCACAAACTGCACCCATGTAAGATGGCAAACCTAATCAGTAAATGTGTGTGTTCTGACCGTTACATCTACCAGCCATATTCCCCCATCTCTCCCTTTCCTCAGGCCTCGCTATTCCCTAAAAGACAACAATATTAAAATTAGGCCACTTAATAACCTTATAATGGCCTTTAAGTGTTCAAGTGAAAGGAAGAGTTGCGTGTCTCTCACTTTAAGTTGAAAGCTAGAAATGATTAAGCTTAATGAGGAGGACATGTCAAAAGCCAAGGTAGGCCAAAAGCTAGGCCTCTTGTGCCAAACGGTTAGGCAAGTTGCACAAAGAAAAAGTTATTGAAGGAAATTAAAAGTGCTATTCCGTGAACACATGAAAAAGCAAAACCAAAGAAAAAGAAAAACCACCTTATTGCTGATATTGAAAATATTAGCATGGTCTGGGTAGATCAAACCAGCCACAATGTTTTCTTCAGCCAAAGCCTAATCCAGAGCAAGGCCATAACTCTCTTCAATTCTATGAAAGCTGAAAGAGGTAAAGAAACTGCAGATAAAAAGATTGAAACTAGCAGAGGTTAGTTCATGAGGTTTAAGGAAAGAAGCTGTCTTCATGACATAAAAATGCAAGTTGATGTTGCACATGCTGATTTAGAAGCTGCGGCAAGTTATCCAGAAAATATCTGAAAGAGGTAAAGAAACTGCAGATAAAAGGATTGAAACTAGCAGAGGTTAGTTCATGAGGTTTAAGGAAAGAAGCTGTCTTCATGACATGAAAATGCAAGTTGATGTTGCACATGCTGATTTAGAAGCTGCGGCAAGTTATCCAGAAAATA